TGCAGCCTGCCTCACTTTCCCTGTTGCAGTCATGTTGAACCAAGTCAGCTTTGCTGAGCTGCACCTGTGCAGATTCAGGTGGAGCTGCAGTGTAACGATGCACTCAGGGAAAGTACGACACTGAACGGCCCGCACAGTTTATTAGCTCCACCCCTGCAGCTACGCCCAGCTCCTCTACATGCGGCTCCAACCTTGTGTTTGCTTTCATTACTTTTTCTGGGGTTTTGGCAGCATGTTCATATTTCTAACTTGCAGAATTTTGACAGGATATTTAAAGTTAAAGTTTATTTTTTTAAGTTTATTTAATCTGGAATAATATTCCTGTCTGTTTTTATTCATATTTATGTTTAAAAAACATGTTTTAGTTTGTTCAATAAATGTTTATCTTGAGTTTTGGCCCCCTGCTGTCACCCTTTCACCACAGTGGTCACTACAGTGGACAGCTGTTCAAAGGCTGCTTGTTGTGTCAGTGTTGATGGTGTACCTGCACATAAACCATTACACTCTGATGTGTCGCTCCACACTCTGCCACCCACTGGTCCTTTAATGTTACTACAGATGTATGACCTGTATCATTGTAGTTATTGTTATTTAACCCTTTCATGCATGAATTATGACCTCAATCAGGATTTTTATTCATCTTTTCATGACTGAAGATGGATAAAAAGAATAAAATCCAGACTGAGGTTGTCAGAAAGGGTTAAATAATGATTTCATCTGAGTGTTTGGTGAGAATACCAGTTAAGGTGTTTTAGGTGTCACCTGACAGCCGACTGGACTTGAGGAGGTTCACTCACCAGCTGGAACTCCCTGCGCCGGTCGTAGGCATTCTGGATGCCCTGGTCCGCCCACAGGGCCTTGATTGACGGCAGGTAGTGCTGAAAAACTTTGGGCTCCACCATGCCGTGACCGTGAGCCATCGCCGACCGAGTGTCAAATGCCATCATAGTGTTTCCATGCCGCTGGTTGGACGGGTTACCCCACGGGATGTGCAGTTTCTCTCTAGCATCCACTAACACTCGAATGCCTGCAGACAGAGACAAACACACATGAGCGATCTGTGTGCTGGGCCAGAGCAAACATCTCTGTGGGCTCCAAGTTACAGCTTCATAACTCACTCATCTGAAAACACCACACCTATATCACAAAGACAGACATGTATGAAAAACATGTAAATGTATTTGTACACTTCATGACACAGGAACACAGGGAGTCATAAAGACAGGATGTTACTGTCTCTTTATAACATCTCATGGTCTGTGAGATTACAACGAGCAACATCTGCAAAGTTACACAGAAATCAGGGAGCTCACAGCTGCCAGTGATCGTGTGAGAAAAGCATCTGGAAGCAACCATGACACAGGTGCTGGGGAGGAAACCAGCAGCTCTGTGTAATAACCCCACATTACTGACATAAGATCAACTCTTAGACCTTTGTTTGAAAAACAAGACCAAAGCAGCAGAGGGGGAATTGAGACGCTACTAACATGTGTCTGCATTTACAAAGTTACACAACAACAACAACAACAACACCACAGCAGCAGTCCTAACTATCCTCCTGTTTTCCTCATTTGATGAGTCAGGAACACCACTCCCTGTGCAGGCCCACACATGTCTGTGCTGCCAGTGTGCAACATGAAAGCGTAGCGAGGCCGACGCCGTCGATCTGGAATCAGACAATGATGATAAACCTGATTGGTGCAGCTGTCAGCGCTCTGACCATCGCGGAGCTCATTATTACTAATACACTGTGATGCTTTGGTAACCGTGGTTTCAGAAGCTGCCCTGACGATGAAGCACGTTTCTGTATTTGGAGAGAGATGAATAAGATCAGAGGAAGTTACACTGTTTAAGCTTCTGCATTACTGAGCTCCACGTCTTTATTATCATTGTTCTGTTTTATTCTTCCGTACGTTTGTGTGTTTAACTACTTCTGCAAATCAGGACGCTGCTCTTACTTTCATTTTTGTAACTTTGGATGGTTTTTCTTCAAACGAGGAGAGAAACTCCTCTTCAAACCTCCAAAGACTTGGAGCAAGACGAAAACTTAAAACCGCTCCTCGAACTATTAAGGTGTTATCTTTATACAATATCTTTAATGTTTTCAAACAGTGATAGTTTAAGTTCAATGAAGAGTTTTGCGTGATGACATCACCTGCTCTAAAAACTAAGGAGACGATAATCTGACACAAACACTCTCTCTCTTTCACAGCCAAACATACATGTAAACATATGCAGCTGTGGCTGTGCTCAGTAAGTAGACGAGCTTTATACAAACAGTGAAGCACACGATGTAAACGAGGACGCCGTCTGCATCCACACAACGTCAGCTGCTCTGGGACAGTTTCAGTGCTGCAGACACGTGTCGTCGTGCTCACACTGTCACAGTTTCTCAGTGGGACCCACACTGTGTTTGTATCTCAGCAGGGATTTCCTGATCACACACAGGCTGCTGCTGATTGGTCGATTCAAATTCAGCACCTTCAGCCCAATGACCGCAGACTGCTCGCCGGGCATAGAAACACAGAGGTGCACGTGTGTGTCAGAGGGGTGTTTACAAACTGCCACCAATCAGAAAGCCTTTCACGATGAACTGTGTGTTTGCAGATCAGCTTTGACATGCAGCAACATTTTTGTCTTATTCTGGCGGTTTTATAGTAACAGGCGTCATTACCTCATGTCAATAATGAGGAGTTTTTCACGTCCCTGAGTTTCTGATGTCAGGCCGACACATCAGGCTTTTTGTTGGTTTCTCTTTTTCTGATCTCATTTACATTTTGAACTTTAACATCCAGACTCTGTGTGACAGCGAGCCACTGTCCCTTTGGCCTTTCTGACTTCCTCCTCAGACGTGATTGATTCATGTATTTAACATCGTCACTACTTTCTACACTTCAGCTCAACAGTCTGCAGGCAGCATGCACGAGCCCGGGGTTCACAATACGTAAGGTGGTAACAACAAGATCAGCAAGTACGCACGTTTCATATATCTGACTGTGATTCTGCACAAGCACACGGGCAGGAACATTTGTAGGTAGGCTATGATGACTAGGGCCAACGCTTCATGTGGTAAAAATAGTAGAAAACTAAACTGGATGAACAATCATGGCAGATATTCTTCTATGGACTGGGTATGTGCTACAAACGAAATGATTTGAAAACGATCGACCTATAGAGGACTAAATTCAAAGACACCCAAACATGGCCTCCATGTGCTACACATGACACGATCGCGGCATCACTCAGGTCATCCTGGTGCCGTTAAATGGCCTGAAACATATTTCTATAAGGTGAGCGAGGGGTAGTCAGTGGTATCAACTGCACCAGGAACTGCCTGATACTCCTGCCACGTGAAACTGCTGCACACAAGGAGGACCCACTGTAGCAGCGTAGCTAACCGACAAAGGCTCCCATGATGCCATCCTGATGCCAGTCAGGCTGTTGTTGCCTGGGCTGCATGTGCCTCCCTACAACATCACTGACCAACACCAGACCAGTCACGCTGATGATGTTTCACACCTTTCCACATCTGTCACATGCGCTCAGGCTGAACCTGCTGTTGTTATTATGTGAGAAGCACCAGTGGTGCAGCTGCCACCTTCATTATTCTATGGCAAATACCAGTTAGGCTCCAGTCACACCAGTGGGCTGCACCTGGGTGGAGTTCTCTTTTCTCCTCGTCTCTCCTCATGTCGTGTATTTCCATTGTTCTACCTCTCCGACCTGTCCATGTGATATTTGTCTCATGTATGATCGGAAGGTTAAATTGGCGCTGGTTAGGCCGGCAGCCTTAACGCTTTATTGATCCTTTTGGATCAATAAAGTACAATCAATCAATCAATAAACAGTCATTTTGCTTCCTGTCTTTGTGTGCTGACGCTGCCTGAACTCTGCCCACGGTCCAAGTCCACCACAGGTACTGTGAAAAGAAAGAAAATGAGCTGCTGCACCTAAAATCTTTGAATGTTACACTTTGTGTCCGTGACAGACATTCAGAAGCATGTAAGTCACATGTGCTGAACCATTATTAGCAGGCTGAACATCTCTGGACCAGTAAACACTCACATGTGCATTAAGTTAAGGGCCATAAACTCGCTCTAATGAACTGTATGGCACACTGACCTGAACGTCATTGTGACGTTGTGCTAATGCTACCTGTTCCCCTCTGCGGGTCAGATTTCCTTGGTGAGATACTAACACCAAGTTGTTGTCCGATGCATCAGCTGGACAGTGGAGATGTCAGACAGAAAGCACTGTGTGAATGAAACAGGCTGTGTGAAGCCCTGTGAGTAACGTCCATTTAGCACAATGTGTGCTCTGGGTGCTCCGGGCCATACAAAGATGAAATCTGACAAGTGGTGGTCAGAACGGGAACCATGAAAGCAGCAGCACTGCAGACAGAGGGCACACCGAAATCAAGCAGTTTGTTTTTAAAAGGATTGTTACTGAACTGTTTAATTCTCCTCATCTGTTACTAACAAAGGCCAAATTTTGCACATGGGTGACCCGGTGAAGTATTTTACTGGCTTTGAACATTGGTGATTTAGAGCAGCACCACAGCAAACGATCATTCGCCAGGAAATTTTAATTTGCCATCATTCACACACAGACTGTCCAATCCTGACCAACCTTCTCACGTGTGATGAGTCGACACCCCTGAACACATTTCAACTGCCATATTTGACAGTGGTCACAGCAGCACCCAGTGGGAACAGGAAATGTCATGTTTTACACTTTGGGCTACAGTTTGAAGACGGGTGATGTCAGCAACCTCAACTTTATCCAGGAAAGCCTTCAGAGGTCAGGTCTTAGGTCACATTCAAAGCTGACTCTTCATCCGAGGCCGTGACGCTGGCAGCATGGAATCAGAAGGGGATTTGAGGGGCTTACAAAACCTGATTATGCCTGGACACGCCTATGTGATGAAGCCATTTATGTTTTATAGTCGCTGTCGTGGAATATTGCACACTAGGGCTGCCACAAACAGTTATTCTGATAGTCGACTAATCAGATCATCATCCATTGGACGTAAAACTACAGCTTATTGCACCAGCAGCATCTGCTCTTATATAACTATCATTAGCTTACAGCT